GTAGGCCCAGCTGTTAGGTAGGCTGAGACCAAGGATTGCTAATACGCAGGAGTTGGAAGCCAACCTAAGCAACACATGAGGCCCTGTCTTAGAAAAAAACAAAACAGATCTGTAGAAGTTTTTCATCTGGGGAAACTGGAACCCTTTACCTACCAAATTACTCCCCTTTTTCCCCTCCTCCAGCCCTGGCAACCACTGTTTTATTTCCTGTTTCCATAATTTGGACTACTCTTAAAGATAAGACCTAAGTGAGGTCATATAGTCCTTTGTGACTAGCTTATTATGTTCTCAGGATTTATCCATATTATAGCACGTGATGAGATTTCCTTTATTTTATAGGATTCTACCGTATTTATAAAACACATTTTCTTTGTCCTTCATCCATCCATTAATGGATATTTGGGCTTCTTCCAGCTCTCAGCAATTGTAAACAATGCTGCAATGAACGTAAGTTTGCAAATGTCTCTTTGAGATCCTGGTTTCAATTCTTTTGGGCACATATGCAGGAGTGGAATTGCTGGATCATATGGTGATTCCACTTTTGATTTTTGAGGAAGCTCCACATTGTTTTCCAGGGTCGGCATGATCTCTGCTAACTGTCCCTGAGAGTTCCAATTTCTCTACATCCCACAAACACTCTTTATTTTCTTGTGTTTGATTTTTTTTTTTATTTTGGTAGTAACCAAACAGGTTACTACTACCTAAACAGGTGTCACTGTGGTTTTGATTGAGATTTCTCATTGGTGAGATTGAGCATCCTTTCATATGCTTGTTGGCTACATGTATATACCTGTTCAAGTGCTTTCCCTAATTCTTAATTCCCTAACTAGGTTGCTTTTCCCCACACTGTTGAGTAATAGGAATTCTTTGCATATTCTGAGTACTAACCCCTTATTAGATTGCAGCTGATTTTCCCAATGTATAGATCACCTTTTCACTGTGTTCTTACTGTTGATAGGCAGGAATTTTTAAGTTGGAGGTAATTTTGTTGTTGTTTTTTGGTTTCATTGTCTATGTTTTTGGTGTCATATCAAGAGAATTATTGCCGAATCCAACAATAGGAAGATTTTCCCTTATGTTTTCTTCTAGAAGGTTTAAAGATTAAGTCTTTACAACACACAGTGTAGGGGGAAGGAAATGTTTTCCAGCTGTTCCACAGACAAAGGATTATTATCAAGAATATATAAAGAACTAAAAAATATCAGTCCTTCCAGATTTAAAGACCCAATCTGAAAATGGGCATCTGGGATGAACACACATTTCTCAGGTGAAGAAATACAAACAGCAAATAAAGAAGAGAAAAAATGTTCGACATCATTTTTGGTCATTCAAAAGATACAAATTAAAACAACACTGAGATTCCACCTCACCCCAGAAAGAATGGCTATTATGAAGAAGTCAACCAGTAACAATGCTGGAGGGACTGTGGAGAAAAAGGAACTCTTCTCCATTGTTAGTGGGAGTGTGACTGATGCAACCACTGTGGAAATCAGTGTGGAGATCCCTCAGAAAACTAGCACTGGAGGTTCCATTCAACCTACCTATTTCCCTTCTGGGTATCTTCCAAAAAGAATTTTAAAAACCATTCCACAGTGATATATATGTACCCACTATAAAGGTAGCACAATTTATGATAACTAGATCTTGGAAACAACCTAAATGCCCATCGACTGAGGAATGTATTAAAAAATGTGGCATTTGTATATAGTGGAGTATTACTCAACAATAAAGAAGGGTAAACTGGATACTTTTATAGGTAAATGGATGCAACTTGAGAACATACTCAGTGAAATAGATACACACATGTAAGCATCGTATTGCTTCATTAGTGTGAGAAGCTGAAAGGAAAAAAAACATATGTATATGTGTATGTATGTGTATATAAAAGAAGCTAAGATAGTTATACCACTGATTTCTCTGAGTTCACTGAAGAGAGAGATCTGTTCTGGTGTTCATACAATTTAATGCAGATGTCTTGTGCTCTGGGTGAGTGATTTGACCGTGCATAATGTATGTACTTTTGTTGTCCCCTGATTGATGTGTTTTGAAACTTTGCTGTAGTTTTCTTCTTCTTCTTCTTCTTCTTCTTCTTCTTCTTCTTCTTCTTCTTCTTCTTCTTCTTCTTCTTCTTCTTTTTCTTCTTTTCTTTCTTTCTTTTTACCCTTGAATAAAATGGATTTGGAAATAAAAGATAGGATCTTTCATTCATTTTGTGTGATATAAGGTAGGAGTACAACTTCATACTTCATACTTGTATGTGTATCTTTTGGTTTCCCAACATTATTTTTTTAAGAGAAAAAAACCCAGAAAAATCAAGAAACAAACAAACCAAAACAACAACAACAACAAAAGCAGAATGACAACAGCAACAATGAAAAATGACAATAGCTATATAGGTTTTCAAAGCAGGATGTTAAGCATTTAACAATGGTTGTTACATTGCATATACAGGAGTAAAACAGTATAAAAATTGGATTTCAAAAACAAGATAAAACTGAGATATACCTCAGGGGCACAAGTACCTACCTGGCAAGCATGAGAGTGTGAGTTTGACCCCTGGTACCAAAACAAACAAACAAAGACAGAAAGAAATACGCCACAGTTTCTATAATGCACATTGCTATCCTCCAAATAGATGCTCAGACTACCAACTTTAGGCCTGCCAAGTCAATCAAACAATGCAAGCACTAAGTTACTTTTTTTACTTCCATCCCTATCGTCTCACTCTAGATCCTGCAAATCAGCCGGTTACTTGGGTGGTGGTGGGGTTGCTCTTCTTGTCTCCCAGCCCATGCGTTATCTGGTTTGTGAGAAGGTACGGTTTGGCTTCTTGATTCTCTTCCCATTCCCCATGGTTTCCCCTGGCTCATGGACCAACACCATTTTTGTTGGAGAGATTGTGTTTTCTTCATTATAGTGCCTGGTACTGTTAAAGAGTGTTTGGCCATGGATATGAGAGTTTTATTTGTGAACTGCAGTCTATATGTCTGTGTTTATGTAAACAGTCACATTGTTTTGATCATAGTAGCTTTGTAGTATGTTTTAAATTCAGGAAGTATGAGGTTTCTGAATTTGTTTTTATTTTATAAGATTGTTTTGACAATCTTAAAATTTATGTGGACTCCGTTGTTCATTGTTAAACAATAGAAACTTTTGTGTCTTGCAATTTTCTTAAATTAATTTATTAGTATTAGACAGTGTTTTGTTTGGTTTGACTTTGGTTTTGGTATTGTTTTGTTCTTTGTCTGAGACAGAATTTTACTATGCAGTTCGGGCTGACTTTGAACTCACTTGGGAGCCCAGGCTGGCCTCCAATGTGCAGGGATCCTTCTGCCTCAACCTCTCAAGTGCTGAGATTGCAGGCATGTGCCACAATGTCCAGCTTTAGTATTAGAGGCTTTTGTTTCTGGTTATTTTGTGAAATCTTTAAAGTATCATAGGTATAAGATCATATCTCTCACCAAAAAACGAGGTAATTTCACTTCTTCCTTTTCAATTCGTTTCCTTTTTTTTTTTATCTTTTGTGGTCCAATCGCTCTACGACTCCTAGTAGCAGGTAAACATGCAGCAAGGGTCAGTCTCCGTGATTGTAAGAAAAAGCTTTCAATTTTTCATGTTGGATTTGGTAATAACTGTGGGATTTACATAGTTTCACTTTTAAAATTTAGGATTTGTGACTTATTTTGAAATGGTAAATTTGACAGACACTGGTCAGGCATTAGGAATGATAACCCCAGTTGAGGATACAGCTAAGCAGAAGAGCACTTGCCTAGCATCTGTGTGTGTGAGAGAGACTGCAAACAAGGCGGGCTTCCGGTTGGTCTAGTGGAATCAATGGCCACCAAAACATCTGTCTATGTCTTTTCTAGATGTGAATATACGGAGACGTATGGGAAATACCTGTCTTGGGAGCAATCCTGCAGACTGAAGTTTCCATAGAAATGATTGCTGTGCTTTACACAGGAAACACATCCAACCTGAATGACCAACAAGAAGCCACTCACCTGGATGCTTCTTTATATGCAACCCTGACTTGCACATGTAAGCTCAAAGTTCCCGCTACTGCAGTGGACGGGGACATTCTCAGATCTACTAAAGAGGGAGGAAAACCTGTAAAGAGACTAACCCCTTTCTTTCTAGGCATTTGATGGCTTTGGAGACTCAGGATATCTAACTATAGAAATCTTTCCTCTCCAGATGTGAATGAGAGGCAGTAGAAGGAAAAGCAATCAAGAAAGAATGAGTTTATTCTGATAGACAGCCCTCAGAATCATGCTCCATGCATACACAAACAGATGCTCAGCAAGGAAGGAGACGGACCGAGGGCTGCAGCTACAGGAGATTAAGAAACATTGCTTTGAAGTGGACCAAGATGCATTGGGAGCTGCGGTTTGTTTTGGCTTTGGTTTGTAAGTGGTAAATTGATTTGGGATTAAAGGAGAGAGAGAAGCTCCATTTATTCCTGTGTATAAATGATGGGGAAAGAGACACCTTCAGTGGAGCCACCATAGGATCTGGAAGAGCAAAGGCTCAGCCACAGCGAAAGAGGCAGAGATAGACACCGCAAGGGCTACATGCACAGTTAACAGTGTAGAAATTCTCTCGCAGGGTTTATGACGTCTCCTCAGAGCCTCTGAGCACAGAAAGCCCGCCAGAGCTCATTAGCAGTTTGTATTTCACACCCTCAAGTGCTTTCTCAACACCCCACTTCCTTACTCCTGACCCTGGTTCTCCTTCTGGTCTACTGGCTTATGGTGGTGACTTTGTGTTCGATGGGAAAGAGCAACCACAAGGCAGACAAAGAGACGGACCCAAGACAGTGCCAGAAAGAGAAATCATGAGGCTTTAAACACAGCTGCAGAATTAAAACAAAAATGTCAAGGGAACGGAGTGTTCCAGCTGACTGAACTTCCTGTTGACGGCCTCTGGGGAGGAGGGTGAGGCCTGGAGCCCTAGACCTGGGGGAGAGGGAGGGCAGGGGCCTGAAGGAGCTCGACTTGCCTTCTCCAGCCTGTTCCCTCTCCAGTTGGGGTTCCCGTCTGCAGGGTGTTGACGTTCATTTCCTGCAGCTGGCCCCAGTCAGGGGAGGCTCTCTCCACGGATGAGCCCACCCTACAGAAAAACAGGATGTTAGCGTTCAGAGCTAATGGAGCCATGAGATGCAAATTCCTTCCTCGCCCCACGCCCAACCGCTGCCACCCACACCATTCCCCCCTTCCGTTCCGCTGTGTGGCTTCCATCAGGGGCTGTCTGTGTCCTTTGCGTCTTTGGCTGCCCGGCTGTGTGTGATCGGATTTACTCATTTTCATTAGTTTCCATTTCATGGTCTTTTTGATGAGAAGTTTCTTACCCTTCCCTGGGTGGCTGATGAGAATGAAATTTGCCTCCTCCCAAAGCACCTGTGTGACCTCACCTGTGGCCCTTTGCCTGCAGGGCCTCTGTGGGTCAGCACCGGCTGGGTCTCTTTCCCACTCACATTTACCCCTTCTCTTGCTCCTCTTTGCCCTCTAAAAGCCCCTTCTTGTGCAATGAAGGAAACAAGAACAGGAAATTCAAACAGAAGCAGCTCTACTTAAATTCATTATCTTCAAAAGGCAATTACCTGCTTCTCCAGGGGCAAACACAAGCATAAAACACTTCGAGAGCAACATTCCGAGTCAGTGTCCCCTTCCCCCTGCCCTGGACCTGCCTCATCACTCACCTTTTCGCTCTGGCGTCCTTGGGACCTAGCAGTCTTGGTGCCCCCTGCTCCGGGATATTTGCTAGTGCACTGAATTTGCATTCTTTTTTTTTTTTTTTTTTTTTTTTTTTTTTTGTCTTTTTCATTTTTATCGGTACCGGGGATCGCACTCACGACCGCCTGCTTGCAAGGCAGGTGCTTATGCCGCTGAGCTAAACCCCCAGCCCCTGAATTTGCATTCTGATCCCAACATTTAAGGATCTATTGCTGCCTTCCCTGATATATGACAGTCCTGCAAACTAGGGACCCTGTACTTGATTTGTAGAACCTACAATCAACATGGTATTGGATTGATATTGGATCAATCAACAAGAGAAAGTCTTAAAAAGTTTCAAGGATCAGGAAGCCAAAAACTTTGAAGATAGCCGAGTTCAGGAAATGTTATAATGGTATGGTCCATAATGTCATAGTGGTACAGCAGAATCACACAGAAGACTTTGGAAGCAGAAGTCTTGCTGGCACAAGAGCAAGGAAATGAGTTGCTATGTGGTAAAATATAGAAAAGATGATTAGATCCTTGGCTATGCCAGGGAGAAAAAACCCACATATATATTTGTGCATTATTTAGTTCTGGGAAAGTTAAAACTGGTTTTCAAAACGAGGAGGCACTAATCAAATAATGAGATTTACTTAGCATTGAGGTATGAAAACTTTCTTCCTCCTTTTTCTTCCTCTTCCTCCTCAACTTCTTCCTCCCTCTCCCCTTCTCTCTTCTCTCCCCTCTTCTTCCTCCTTGGTATGTGCAAACGTAAAATACAGAATTGCACCTGAACTTCAGAATATCCAAAAACTACTGCATGAAATGCAGATGAAGGCCAGGCATGGTGGCACACTCCGGTAATCCCAGCACTTGGGAGGCTGAGGCAAGAGGATCGCTGCAAGTTGGAGGACAGACTGGGCTACATAGTTCAGAGATAATCTGAAATGTACAGCGAGGCCCTCTTTAAAATAAAAAATACAGATGAGAAGAAACAGGACAAATGTTACTCTTTCTTTGAGCTAAGGCAATACTCAAGTAGAGATTTATAAGGAAAAAAAGTTGAAAATCTCCAGCAGAATGCTTGGTACTGAGAGGTGAACTTGAAATCATGTTGTGGAGGAGGCTCTCTGAGTGCAGCCTGGACCCACCCACCACTGCTCACTGCTACTATGACCCCACATCAAGCACAATTTCTCTGCATTAGCACTATTCGGAGCATTTCACATTGTGCTAACTCATGCAACTCCTACAACAACCCTGGGAGATAAGTTTGCCCCATTTTACAGATGAAGAATTTAAGGAGCAGTTGGCCCAGGAGGGCTGTCATCAGAGCTGACCCCTAACTGCTATGCTATACTCTGTGTTACAACACTCTGTTATTACTACATTTTGAGGTGGACATGCAAGAGCTAGGTTACGACATGAATTTTCTACTGTTTTGCACGTGGCTGGTATTCATTCATCCACTCCAAACGCATTTCCATCAAATTTGAACCCAGCACAGACCACAGAACTTTAACCAAGGCATTCTAGAATGGAATGCGTCCTTATTAAGCCTGGAGTTTAGTGGCAGATAAAGTAAACAAGCAATTTAGAAAAACCCCAGCAATGATAGGAGCAGGATAGGTTTGGGATGGTGGTCAGGAAGCAGCTCTGACCCAGCTGGTGCAGGATGGAGGCAGGGTCAGGACTGTCTTCCTGCAGGACGCCTGAGAACGGGATGATGAGCAGGAGTCAGCTTGTTGCAAAGCAGGAATGTGCTCCGGGGATGCAAGAGCCCTCTCAGAGTCTCTTTCCCTTCTGGAGTTCAGAACCCTGGGGCAGAGTGGCTGGGTTTGTGTCAGGAGTGAGTGTGAAAAGTTGCATAAGAAGCCAGGCTTTGTGGCAAGTGGACCCGGGAGTCAGTTCTGTGTTCAGAAAGATTTTTACCCGTGGGATGCAAAATTGGTGAAAGAGGAGGATGCTGAGCTCAGAGACCAGGAAACTGTGTCGGAGATGTGAAGCCAATCAGGTTGCTTGTTTCATCCAGCCGCAAGATGCTGTGACTGATAGAAGGGGAATCAAGGTGAGGTTTCAGAGCTGGGTTAGAGACCACCACCAGAGAGACAGACAGACTAACAAAGACACACAAGGTTTTAGTAGATTTTTACAAATGAATACTTCGCTACAGTTGAGCACAAGAATTCATTGCCAGGAAAAGTTTCACATACATCCCTTCTGGTTATCCACAAAGGAGATAAGTCATTGGTGCAATTTGAGTACTATTATTTCTTACCATTGGTTTCACCTTATTAGTGCAGGATCATTGGGGATATTAATGTTAAGCCAAAGGGATGGTGTCTGAGGTTGGACAAGGTCTTGCACAGAGTGAGATACTGACTTGTTCTAAGCACCTTTAGTAACAGCTCTAGACATTACTAACAACATCCCAGAAAAGCCGTGATCTGAAATAATTTCATGGAAGCACGTCTTTATTTCTGTGTGTATCCTCCCACTTATGTTCTACAATGAGTCAGCTCTTTTTCTTTGTTAAGAGTAAAAGGTGAATGTGGTGGCATGCACTTGTAACCCCAGAACTCGGGAAAGCTGAAGCAGGAGGATCACTGGTTCAAGCCCAGACTGGTCAATTTAGTGTCGGAGTGAGTTCCTGTCTCAAAATAAAAAATGAAAAAAAGGGACATGGATGTAGCTCAGTGAGAAAGCCTGGATTTCTCTAGTACTTCGGGGTGCGGGGGAGGAATGGGTACAGGTGTAGCTCAGGGGTACAAGGCTTGCCTAGTGTGAGTACAGCTCTGGGGGTCCACCCTGGCAAAAGCAGAAAGGAGGAGAGGGAGTTAGCGGTATCACTGGCTGTTTTAAAGCTAGACACTGGCCAGAAACTTCAAATTCCAACATGATAACTCTTATTTTTTCAATTTAAATTTTAATCTTTCCTAAAGTAGTTTCTGGCAGTCTCTATTATAGCCTCTAATTCTGCCAGCTCTCTCCCTCCCTTTCTGTCTCTCTCTGCCTCTATGTCTGTTTCCTTCCTCTCCTCCTTCCCTGTCTCTCTCTCTCTCTGTTGTCTCTGCATCTCTGTCTCTCTGTCTCTGTCTCTGTCTCTCTCTCTCTCTCTGTGTATGTGTTTCTGACCTTCCCTGCTAATCTCTTTCTCTCCACCTCTGCCTCTCCCTCTGCACTTGTGTGTCTCATTTTGTCTTCTTGTATGTTTGTCTTTACCTAAATCAGTCAGATGCCTCCGGCTATAACAAAACACCCTGATTTAAATAGCTTAAAGTATTAAAAATGCATTATTTCACATAGTAAGGGGTCCAAGGAATTGTCCCTCCAGGGTGGGTCACCTTCAGTGCCTCAACAAAATCACTGAGCTCTTCATTCAATGAACATTAGTGTTGATTGCGTCTGGCTTTGATTTAGGCACACATGATACATACTGATGAAAGGGAAGGGGAGTGGAGGGGAAGGAGGAAAAGGGAGGAAAGGACAAAGAAAGAAACGAAAAATATCCATGCTTGTGACATTTATATTCTGGCTCTTCACAGCTTCACCACATGGTAGCAAAATGATTGCATCAGTTCCAGTTAACATTATTAGTAGGAAAACACACAGGACTTATGGGGCACTTTGTCCTGAGAATGGAACCCAGAACCCAGCACACACTAATAAAACACTACCACTGAGCTATACCTCCAGCCTCTTTTTAAAATTTTTTTTGTAGTTCAAGATAGGGTCTTGATAGGCTAATACCCAGGCTGACCTTGAACTTGGCCATCGTCTTCTCTCAGCCTCCTTAGTAGCTGGGCTCTTGGGTGTGTGCCATCTCACCCAGCTGTGTGTGTTTCTTCATCAGGAAGGACCAAGGGTTTTCCTTTTGCCTAAGATGAAAATTTTTTCCTTGCCCTTCCCTAGAAGAGTTGTAGCAGGGGGAATGGTGTTCGTTTATGCCACAAGCAGCTGCAGATAATTTGAGAGTCACCTCTTTACTGACCCTGAGAAACAAACGCATGACACTCACAGCAGGCCCAGCTCTCTGCGGGCCTGGGGTGGGGTGCGGATACAGGAATTGTTTTATAGCTCCCTGTAACATCCCAGCGCACATCCCAGGTTGGAGCCAGTGCAAGGTGGCCTGCACAGCGTCTGCTTGAGGTGGGAGAAGGTCACTTTGCTTGGCAGAACTGCCTGATTTCATGCCTAAACCTGTAACCTCTAACCCTCGGAAAGGGAAGGCACTAACTGATGGAAGCAGAGTAGCCTGGGCTATGAGCCTGGCAGTTGGTCCTTCCCTCTGCCGGGTGCCTGAGCTGGCTGCAGACTCCACCAGCCTGTCCAGCCTTTCCTCCGTCCTCCACTCCTCTCTCCTCCCTCCCTTCCTCCGCCCCTCCCCCACCCCAGAGCAGTGTGGGGGCCCATTTCTTCCCCAACACCCCAACCCCTGCTACTTTCCTTAACTTTTTTTGAGATAATTTTAAAGTTTGAGAAAAGCCTTAAGGTTAGCGTTAATCATTCCTTTAACGCACTCTGTAGTCAGAGGCACAGGCAGTGGATCAGTCGTCCTGTGAACCTGGCCACCGTTCACCAGAACCTTTCCTCATCCTTTCTGGGACTGGCCTAAGGCCCCCTCTTGAAGGCCACAGGCCATGGTGTGAGAGTGCTTTCCTAGCTGGTTGCTCCAGTGTTTCTTCCTATGTTCAGGCGAGGCCCCAGACTGTCATAGAAGCGTGACTGGGCCATGCAGTGCGTGCTATGAGAGAAACTCAGAGCTAAACCTGCTGTTAGGAGACAGGGTCTGGATGCAGGAGGTCACTGGGAGTGTGTGGACTACTCTGCTTCCCAGCTGCTGTGAGGGAGGGGCTCTCCCCTGCTGTGCCCCTCTGCCATGCTGTCTCTGCCCTGGAGCCTGCTGACTATGAACTGAAACCTCTAAACCGTGAGCCCAAATAAACTGGTATTGGGCGTTGTATCCTGGTAACCAAGACCCTCACTTTCCCTAAGGCACCAAACTCCTGACCTCCACAGGTCCAGTGTGCCACAGGCCCCACCAGAAGCCATCTTTATGAGTCTAGCTACTATTTTCATCACTGCCCCCACCACCACAGTCCCCGTGCAGCTCCTGGACTCTGCGACGCTCTCCTCCTCAGGTACACTTTGCAGTTGACCACTGTCACCATCTTCCTTGGAGAGTCCGTCTACCGCCCCACAGTGACTCCACGAACACATTCCTGTCTCTGTGTTTCCACCTCAGTGTCGCTGATATCATTTATCAGTGACAGTCACCTGTGACAGAAGGAACTGGCAGGGTCTTGTATTGTTTTGTTTTATTTTGCCACATCCCCGGGATTTAAGGCTGAAGTATATAGAATCAGTCCTCTGTGTCTCCAAGTTCTGTGTCTGTGGAGTCAACCAATTGCAGATTGAAAGTATTTGGGGGAGACTGCATTTGTTACTGTGCCTTAATCCAACAACTACCTACATGGCATTTACTTTGTGTAGGATAGTGTAAGCCATCCAGGGATGATTTACACTGTACAGCAGGATGGGTGTAGGTTACACACACATTCAGTGCATTTTATAAGAAAGATTTGAACATCCACACGATTTTGGTATTTGCAGAGGACGGGGTGTCTTAGAACCAATTCTCTGTGATGCTCTGTATCTAAATTTTGGTAGCATTTATAGTTATGAAAAAATAGCCTCTTCTTACTCTGAAATGTGATTGGAGGACAATGTGACCACATATGAAGAGCTGATTGCTTGGAGCTCTGTACAGTCCTGAAATCTAATTCAGTTACTGTTTAACAGGATCTCTATTTCTCTCCCATTTGGTCCTTTCCAACATGGACACTTATCTTAGAAAGGCTCTACCTTTGATTTAATGGCAAAGCTCCTGCCAGTTTGCCTCTCATTCATTCCTCCATCCATTCAGGCGTGCATACAGGCACCCTTCCATTCTTCCACATTATCTGATAAAGGCCCCTGTGTGCCTGGAGAAGCCCAATGTATGAATACGGGTCCTCCATCCACCTCCCTCTCAGGTCCAAGTCACCTCTCTGAAGCTCCTTGCTCTAAGTTCTGCCCTGTCCCCTGTCTATGGTTCCCACTGTGAAGGGGAAGTCCCCAGGGAGCAGCAAGGGCACCCCAGTGAGCAAGCCAGATCCCTTGGGGGGCCACTTTCCCTTCCCTTTGGTTATCAGCTTCTCCCACAGAGCACCTAGAAACTGGGCAGAAGAGCGTGTTTGCTGGCTTGCTCATTACTGTGTGGTTTCTGGGAATCTTTAGGGGACCAGGAAGGAAGGCCCGGCTCTGCCTGTCCCTTGCCCTCTTCTACCTGTCCCTTAGGAGTAGGCCTCTGCTTGTGCCCCAGGAGTAACACCTGGGGAGCAGAGGCCCCCGCATACGCACACGTTTGCTTCCTCTTCTCTGCCTGGGGAGGGTGTGAGCAGGGCGTAAACAGCTACTGCTAGTCACCTTGGGTGAAGGCGATCTTATCGGCCTAACGGTTTCCTTGAGGTAGTCACTTCCGCCCGCCCTCTCCTGGCAGTGCAGCTGGAACCTGTGCAGGAGGCCACTGTGAGCAGAAAGGGGGATCCCCTGGAGAAAGAAGGCAGAAGCCCCAGGAGCAGGCTTAGAAGTCATAGTGAAAAGTCAGGGTTGTCAGCCCACACCTGTAAACCCAGCACTCGGGAGGCCAAGGCAGGCAGAGCCTCAGGTCTCAAGCCAGCCTGGGTTACACAGTGAGTTCAAGGCCAGCCTTCATGCGTAGCAAGACCCTGTTTCAAAAAATCAAAACAAACAAACAAGAAGTCTTGGTAGAAGCCAACGCTCCCATCACAAACCTAGTCCTCCCCTTCACAAAGAAGAAAGCCACAAAGTCACAGGCACAAGGTTACTTTTCAAGTTACCAGGAAATTTCCTTCCTGCTCAGCAGGCCTACCTCCACACTACAAGGCGGGGATGAGAGGGGCTCCCCACTAATTCCTGGGGATGGGGGCTCTTCTGCCAGAGGGCTTGGTTCTAAGTAAACAGAATATCAAAAACGTATTCATTTGAAACTCGTACAGTAGGCTAAGAAAGCAGCAGTCGGAATTCAAGTCTCCATCTGTTTCTTTCCTTTCCTTGAGAGGTTTCACTATGTAGTTGAGGATGGCCGCGAACTCACTCTGTAGCCCAGTCTGGCCTTGAACCAGCAGCAACCCTCTAGCCTTAGGCTCCACTGTGCTGGGATCACAGACATGCACCACACTCAGCCTCATTTTCTTGCTGTTTTCATTGCTATTGTTTTGCTCTGTGTTTTGGAAACAGGGTCTCATTATGTAGTTCAGGCTGGGCTTGAACTCACTGTGCAGCCTTGAACTTGCAGCAATCCTCCTGCCTCAGCCTTGAGCTCTGTGATTACAGGCTTGCACTACCATGCCTGGCTCCCTCGGTCTGTTTTTTAAATCCAGGTCTTGGCCCTAAGCTCAGATGAGTTAAATGAGAAAACAACCACGCTGGCAGGTGATGGAGAAAGTCAGGCCTTGGAAGTGTCTATGACAGGAGGCGGCCTCACGTATCTGACTGGTACCCAAGCAGCAATGGAAGCACCTGGAAGCCACAGATGGTTTTCAGTGAGAAGCAGAATCAGGGCAATTCTCAGCTTGTTTCCTGCTCAGAGTTCACCAGTGCCTATCTTGCTGTCCCCTCTGGGATTGATCTCCTTTTCCCTGGCTCGTTAGGGCCAAGGCTGGGGGACAGAGTTAAGGGGACACGAGTGTTAAAGGACAGCACAGAGTGAACCCTGGCAGCCCATTCCCTTCCACTGCAGGTCTCCAAAGGCACTTCCCCCTGTGCCTGGGAAGGAGGGCTGGAAGGGGCCAGTACCTAAACTGGTATGGGACAATGACCCTGGCATGGAGTCCAGTCCCCACATCTCTCCCACACAGCCTTTTCGCTGCCCTGGGGCTTGGATGGCCCTGGGGGAGGTTGCTAAACTCGGCCTTATGGGAATCGGATGTTTAGGATCTTGCCCTGGACTATATTTAATAGGAATGGAGAAAAAGGCCCTTCAGCTAGCAGCTTGTGGGAGCTGAAATTCCCACAAACCCCAATGCTTGAATCAAAGCAGATTTGAGGAAAAAGATTTACTGCTGCAGGGAGCGTGGAAAACATTGTTTGGATTCCTTGTTTTTCTCCTCCTCTTTCTCCTGATACATAGATAGCCGGCAGATCTATAGATTGATAAGGGTTTGCCTGAAGCGAGCTAGAAGGTGGAGAAGAAAAGAGCTGCCAAGGGAAAAGTGGCCCTGTCAGGTCTCACTCTGCTGCCTCCTGGAAGCCTCCCAGGGATTCCAGGAAATCAGGTGTGACATACATGCAACCTAAGAAGAGAAAGAGAGGAAGAGGGAAGGGAAGCAGACAGGATGAGCATAAAAGAAGGATATGGAAAGGAGGGGAAATAAAATGAACAGCAGGCCAGGGCTAACCTAGCCAAAGAAGAAAGCGCGTTCAGGGAGCCAGAGGTGAGGAGCGAGGCCCGGGGTCCTGAGAAACTCTGCGAGAGAGGGGGCGCGGCGGCTGCCCATCCATGTTTGGGCAGATTGGGAGGGCCAGTATCTGTTTAGATTTGTGTCTATATTTAAACCCCACCGTCGCCCTCCCTCCTCCCTCCTTCCCTCCCCGCCCCTCCTCCGCCACTCCTTCCTGGTTCTCCGCGCGGAGCTCAGCGCAGCAGAGCGCAGCCCGGCGCGCGCCGCCCACTCGCCCCGGCTGGGCGCACAGGGACCGCGGGGACCGCGAGCGCGGGCCAGGACGACCCGGAGGACATGGAGGTAAAGGACGCCGCCTCTCTGGCCAGGCAGCCCGGGGTAGGGAGCGCACGGCTCCTGGCGGCTGCCAAGAAGGGCAAATCCCTGCTGCCCGGCGCCTCGTGCTGGGTCCTACCTGGGGGACGCTGGGGCGGGCGAGGGCTGGCAGGGACGCGGGAAAGGAGGGCGCCTTTCTGCGAAGCCAGGTATTTTGTGCAGGCGTTTGCGTGCTTTAAACAAACAACACAAAGTAGGTGCAGAAAAGCTTCATAAATGGGCACATTGCGAGCAGAAAAACGTTAAGAAATCCCCAGCCTTTGACTGAAGAGCCGGGCTTGAACGAAGTCAAAACTAGCAAGGGAGGCTGGCTGCTCTGCCCCGCTGGGCTTCCCACTTCACTTGCACACTCTCCGTGTAGGAGTCCAGTTGTCGCCTGGCTCCTGAAGTCCCTCTTGCGCCTGTTACATTTTTCATAACTTTCTGTAAAGCTCCCCACCCCTGAAGTCAAATGACCTTATTTCTGATAAAACTTGAGAGTCCTCTAATGCTCCCGCTTTGTGGGACTGTGTGTATTGGGGTGCGCTGCTCATCTCTAGGGGGTGACCAGGCTGAGGCCCAGCTAGGTGAAGGTCTAGGGACTTTACTGTAACATTGTGGGGTCCTGGTAACCACCTTCCATCAAACATGTGTCCCCCAAATCCTCCCATTCTCTTTGTCTGGAGGCCATAGGTTTCCTCCTTGAAACTGAGACCTGCCATTTCACAGGAGTCAACCTCAGCAGGATCCAGGACTTTTGAAAAAGAGAAAACAGAAACAGTGCAAACGCATAGTTTTAAGGTGATTCCCACTCCCATTCCAAGGCTCCTCTCTGGGTTGTGGGCTGCAGCAATCTGGATTCCGAGTAACTGCTGTCTTTGCGCCTGCTCCAAGCTCCCTGCATGGTTTTTGCCTCCTGTGCTAGACTCTGTGCTTGGCTGCTTCAGAGTAGTAGGCTGGTCCTGGATACTCAGCGCAACTAGTTGTCTTCAAGGGACAAGGATCATAGTGTTCAGGGGTGGGGTCCATCCCCTGTGGAAACGTGCACAGCTGGGGCACTCAGGCACTCACTACCAAACAGCTCAGCAGGTAAGGCTCACAAGGCTACTCAGAGCTGCAGGGCTCTACGCTGAGCTCCCTGGGCCGCAAGGCAGAGGAGGGAGCCAACCCAGGAGACCCCCAATGTGTTGGGCTGGCGGAGAAGTTATTCTAGATGTGGTTTCCCTCCTCTGGGAGTAAACAGGGTGCCTGGAGCCACAGGCTGGAGGTTCCTTATAATGTATGACCTGTCTCATCTCTTGCAGAATGAATTGGACATTAAAAAACAAAGTAAATTTAAGCTTAAAGCACACTCCTGTTTGAGGGCCACGGCAAGCTTACATTTTGTTCTAGGGAGACAACGAGGTCTCCTTCCAGAGGGAAACTGTCCTCCCTTGATTGAGGAAGGAACAGTGAGTGGCAGAAGCCCCAAAACTATCAGCAGAGCAACTTCCTGTGTGGCTTGAGGGGTGGAGTCAGGAAAAGAGAAGGCCCTCCTGTGCTAAGCTAGATGTACAGAAACTGAAGAGGGCTGCTACCAAGACACCCAAATCCCTGGTGTGCCTGGTGCCTGGGGGCTGGGGAGGGGTGGCTTCTCCGGCCAGGAAACCCTGCAGATCACTGCATCTGTCTAAGCATAGATTTGTTCTTTGGGAACGACTGCTTTTGAAGTTTCTGTGTCAATACTACCTGAAGGAAAAAAACAAAACAAAACAACCTGCAGCTGCTGGTCATGGTGAAGGAAGTACAAAAGAAACCAAAAGCTGAGGAGGTGACCACGCTAGCCCAGAAGTGAGCTTGTTATGGTGGGGTGTCGTGGGCAGGAGTGGGCTTGGGGATTCCTGAAAATCACAACCTAAAAGCCTCTTTGGAGAGGTGAAATCTATTTTGCAGATGTAAAGAACTTCTATATTGGGGGACAAGCAAAATTACAATTCTTCCTATTATTAGGAATTCAAATCAGACCAACAAGATTTAATAACTGCTCTCTAGAATCCACTTGCCTATTGGAGGTCTTTGGAGGATCATGTTTTAGTCATTTCACCATTATCACCAGCATCTGTCACTATTTGGGCCTCAGTGAGCCCTCTGGGTGAAATAAAGTGGAGGTGCCTTCTGATCCATGCCTTTTAAGCCCTCAAAATCCAACAGAGGACATGGGGCTTGCTCTGCCCTGTCCTGTGTATAATTCTCCAGTCCATGCGCACTGAATGATGATCCTTGCAGACCCTGAGTTCTACAGGAATCCAGAGCAGATGAGGCTCAAAAAGAAGGCTGGATGGTGGTGGCGAGGAGAAGGCCTAAGGCACTGGGTCAGGAAGGACATGCCTCCCTGGTTCAGGAAAGTAGGGCAACTGGCTGGAGAAGAAGGCCAAGAAGCAGAAAGAGTGGAGAAATGAAAGGAATGAGATAAAGCTACAGGGCTGCCGAGTAGCATAGGCACTGGCCAGTGAGTGAGTGGGAGCTGACCCAAGCCAGGTGACAGAAGGCTTTACCTTTTCTTTACGCAGGCCTGGTTATCCCTGGTTATCCCTCCGAGGGTACCCTTTTCTGATTCCTGTATAAACCATCTGTAGAGCTTGCTTGGAGGCCACCGCGGAGATGGGCCTGGGTTGTGCTGCCTGGAGAGCAGGCCACTCTGATAGTGACCACGATGCGGGAGGGGTTGGGCAGCAGGAATGCAGTCTGTTGGCGGAGTGCAAAGGGCAGGTCTTCTAGAGGGCAGTGCAGGGACTTTGAGAGACAATAAGAATGGAAAAGATGGAAAAGGACAAAAACCGTGTGCTGGAGTGAAAGGTGGAAATTACTTCTGGGTTAACTTCTCCAGAGCACCCAGAGAAGTAGAGTTCCCAAAGGTGCCAGGAGAGAGGAGCCCCCAGGGACAGCGACATGTCTTAATAGATCTGGGACCTAATGGACACTCAGTAAAGACTCCTGAATGAGTAGATATATTATTGGAAATGAGATGAAGGTCAGTTTTTTCCCTTTTTAAAATGTTTACAGGAGCAGGGGTGTAGCTCAGCTGCGTAAGTGCCTGCCTGGCAAACTCAAGGTCATGAATTCGATCCCCAATACCAAACAAACAAACAAACAAAAGAATAGAATAAAATAAAACAAAATGTTTTATAATTGGGGCTGGGGGTTTAGCTGGGTGGCATAAGTGCTTGCCTGGTAAGTGTGAAGTCGTGAGTTCGATTCCTCTTGCCAAAAAAAAAGAGTACCTATTAAGGAGTAAAATGTTTTATGTTTTATTATTTTCTCCCTTTCTCAAACCCCTTTTTCATCTTCAGAGTGTACTGCCCTGCTTTGATCATCTCTTTTTTATTTTGCTCTTGATTGGGTGCTCTTGTGAAGGCAGAGTTTAGCTATGTTGGTTCGACTCTCCTATGTGGCTATTTCCAGCATGTCATGAGAAGCAGAGATCCCTATGATACAAATGTGTTTCTACTCTAGAAAACATGATAGGTGACCTTGTTTTGGATCGGAACCCAGTGAACAGGGAGTATAGTAAAGAAAGAGCAGGAAACTTCAGGACATTGAACTTACATTTGTATTCTCAGTTACCTAATATAGACTGTTAGAACTCCAAGATAGCCTAAGGGTGCTTGGAAAAATTTTAATTTTCACTAACTAAATCCTTCTATTTGTTCAACTAAATAGTATATAACATGAAAATTAAACTTATCTCCCCAAACCATGTACCTACGACTTAGCTAAACAAATAAAGGATTTAGTCTGTGAAAACTAAACTTTAATGCCACCAAATAAATGAATTTCTAGATAAAGTTAATAAACACACCCTTTTCCCTGATATAAAATCAAGACTTTCCTAGATATTGTCATTCAGCCATTCGTTCAATGTATTTATTCATTTATTACATGCCAGAGCTTATGTTTTTTTTTTAAAAGGTGGGATTGAAAAATACAGGAATGCTTAAATTTTAAAATTTATTACAATGAAAGACACGTTGCCACGATCCTCAGACTGTTCCCACTCAGTTGGAACACACCCCCTTATTCTTGCCACTTTCTGAAGCAGTTCTGAGCATCCTCTTTGGTGTGTTTTGAGTTTATCCAAAACTTTTCATGATTGTCTTGAGTTTGAGGAGGAGCTGGAAGTGACATAGTGCGGATCCCATGAACGGGATGGATGAGAACATGCTAGGTGATGGTGATCACATCTCATATAAAGCTTCCTGTCTTTCCTTCCTTACGGACTGTCAGTACTGATAGGGTGTGTGTGCATGTGTATGTGTGTGTGTGTGTGTGTGTGTGTGTGTGTGTGTGCATGTATGTATGTACTGATATATATATTGTGTTAATTTTGTGGGTTATGTTTTCATTCATATCTTTGTACCTCATTAAACATTTTCTATCACATTTTTAAAAACATTGCTAGGAGATTGGAGACTGGTAGAACCCCAACAGCCTTTGCTAATTTTTTTCTTCCTTGCTAGTTTTGGACTCACGTCTCTCTGAGCCATAGTCGTCTGCTGGTTGGAGCTGGTTGGTCACAGACAGCGATAGCATGGGCTTTTGAAGGTGGGTTTGTGGGGAACTTGTGGGCATGTCCAGGTACCCCACATGCCCCTCGGCTCCCCTGTGTCCTTCCTTGAGTAGATGGCTCCCATCTGTTGGGCCATGGTGACAGTTTGGGTGTGGCAGGAGGGTAAATGCACATTCCTGGAAAGGAGTCGGGTTTCCAGCCTGAGCCACAGTGCACTGGTCCCAGCCAGGACGGCCAGACTGGGCCTGGCGCTCACAGCTCCGTGGGAAATCTGACCACTGGCGGCTCAGCAGCCGGTAATCTTATCAGGGGCACAAGAGAAAGCATTTCGGTTCCAGAAAACTCTGAAGGCAGCCCTGCCTTCCTTCAGGGATAATGTTTGAGGCATGCAGAGCCTGCCTGTCCACCGTTGCTCAACTCACTGGACTGGAGAAGCACAGAG